TTTAGGGCACACACCATGACATGCTGACTGGCGGAGACATCAGCGGCCCCCGCCTTGTTCTCTCCACTGATGTCATTCACAACTGCCTCTGAAAAAACAAGCGGCAGAGAAAGAAAAACAAACACGGTCGGTTTGTTAGTATAAAAGGCTGTTGATTAAGCTCTAAAATCCTTAAAAATAAGGTAACCCGTTACTAATCAATGTGTGCAGCATTGATGGATAACGTGAGCTGCACTAATTCTGACATGTTACATAAAACGCATTGTAACAACATAACTGGCTGTCCACATTAGTCCATGTGTTGCTGTCACACATTATGAAAATATTTCAACTGCAGAAAGACAATCCTTCAACGTACTGAGGAGCACGCTGCTATAGGCCACACTGCTCTGAGAATCTTTTTTAAAAACAAAAAAGGTGCAATGCATTAAACAAAGATTATAGTTGTATTGAAGAATAAATGTGACGAGAAAAACACTAACATTTTCGAAATCAGAAAGATCACTGATTAGAATATCTGAGGGTAATTTATCAAGAACTTAAATCCTCAGAGCAAAAATAGACAACAGTCAAGAAAGATCACACAAAAGGAAAGAAAATAAACGACTTTCGGAAGAGATTTAAAGCTGCTTCTTGAACTGTGGCAGTCATGTTATTCCATACAACTTGGGACAGCAGGGACCAACTGTAGAATGAAGAGGGGAACATACACTAGGGGGTCGCACTGCCATCATGTATCCAGGACACATTTTTAAAGTTACTTTTAGCATGGATATTTCACAAAGTCTCATTTCAAGAAGTCTCACAGATCCAACTGGATGGAAAAGCAGCAAGAACAGTAAAGAGCACAGGACCACATCTGAAGAGACACCAACATTCAACATCCTTTTTAATTTCTGTTTGAACAACAAATGTGAGAATGTATGTTTGACATAGTTTACATCAGTTTAAAAGGTTGCAAAGCAAATCAGAGTAAGAATCATCCTTTTTGAATGAGATAAAGGTGATTTTAAAAATGATTGATGTGCTGTTATGCAGGGGGAAAAATAAATTTGGAGGAAATCAATAAAACTTAATGATGGATAAACGTGCAAATGTTATGTCTTGTTGCTGTGGGGGGAAATGGCTTGTTCCTACTAAATGTGTGTGAATTTAGTGGCACATGCAGTTTTTCTGCTGGTGTAAGCCAGACGTCAACAGTCGGAGAGAGTTAGGTCATGCTCCGTAGGGACTGTAATACAATAAGAGAACAGGCAAACAGCCATGGAGGCTATGCAACAATGCAAGCAGGAGTAACTCAAATGCTGAGCTGGCAATGGATAATGTTACAGGCATTATGATGCTGCTAGTGGTTTTAAAAAAAAAAAAAAAAAAAAAAAAGATAGGAGGAGAGTGATCCAAAAGAAGCAGAGGCAGAAAGCAAGAAGGAAAGCAGAAATAGGGAAAGCCATCTCCGCACACAACAAAAAGAAAAACCATCTCCGTCTACAACACAAGAGCCAACCATGCAAGAATTGTAGAAACTGAATGAAGGCTGAATTAAAAGTGATAATAATGGATGAGTACTTACTCTGCAATGCTCTGAACCGTGATATTTCCCCCCCATCCTCCTTACCCACAGCCCTCATTTGTTTGCTGATGGCTTGGCAGAGTTCTTTGCCGGCTGCAATTTGGGCTTTCTCTCCAAGTAAGCCCCCGAGGGTGGCGCGTAGCATGAAGGAAACACAGCGGCGTGAGTACACAGCCTCAACATGTGTCTGCGTGGCCCGGGGGTGAGACACTAGGTCCAAAACATGGGACAGGAATGTAGCAAAGTTGCGCTCCAGCCATTGACCACCAAGTGTAGTCACGAACACAACATAGGCCTAAGGGAAATATGAAGAAAGATCACGCGTCAAGTTTTTTAAACGAGATAATGCAGCCTCAGATTCTTACGCTTGAGGAGTCACCTCACCTGTGTGATGCCCACTCGCACCTCCCTGCTGACAGAGCCTCCCCCCTTCAACATCTCCCCTCCACTCTTCAGGAAGCCGGAGCCACCACGCAGAAAGCCTGTGGCCATTAGCTCCAGCACCTCCTCCAGAGTGGCCCGCTTCACGTTCTGACGCATCACTGAGGAAAGAAGCATTGAGCTCATGAAGAACTAAAGTGGTGGAGTTAGTCGTAAACTACACAAATGAACTCTTTGATCTACCAGCTGCTTGTTTGGGCAGCAGGGCAGTGGCCATGACTGTCCCCAGCAGTTTAGCCACGGCTACCCGAACGCCATAGTTAGATCCTTCCAAGGCCTTGTAGCACAAAGTGGCCACGTTCTCCAGTTCTGTGGTCCACATGAATACTGCCTCATTCTGCAGCTCCAGCAGGCACTGATCAGACGAGCAAATAAAGATGGAGTCCTGTTAGTAACGTCTACAATATGCATGTACAGGACACATTGAATCTATCATAGAGAGACTGATGATGCATATCAACAATTTGAATGCTTAGTTCATACATGTCTTTGCAATATACTGGCCCTACAGCTTGTACAATATACAGTTATGTATCTTTTACATGAATGACATGAATGAAGGAAGTTAACATGGACCCAAGCTGTTGCCTGATGATGCAATAGAGTTGAAGTGGTCTGTAGGGTGGAGATTTGCATGACACGTTTGAGTTTGGTCACCGTAAATGACATCGCAAAGATATAGTGTAATCTGTAACTATTTTACAGCTCAATTCGATATTTTTCTGAGACCAACCTTTGCTACAGCACAGCGTACGGCCATGGACCGGTCTGTGAGAAGAGAGCGGGCATTCTTGTAGATATCTCTGTGACATGAGGCTGCAGCTCCCCCCAGTCCATAGAGCACCTTCTGCAGACTGAGAAGGATCTCTCCTCTGCCTTGGGACTACATCAACAAAGTATGGAAAAACAGGAGGATTCAAATAAATGTCATGTTTCTGAATAGTAAATCTATTTAGTTATTCATTTCTGTTCCTATACTCCAGTACACACTTTGACCTAATACATTCTTGCTATAATAAAATGGAAAACTGCATTCCATTTTCCAATATTGTAAAAGTCCTACCTCAGCACTCTTTAATGCCTTCAAAAGATTATTAATAGTGTCTGGAAAGGAGCTTCCCAGCATCCTGCCCATCTTCTCATAAAAAGCTCCAACACATGCCACGGCAGCACTGGAAGAAAAGTTACTGAATGCATTAAAATGAAAGGACACATTACAGTTCACTTTAAACTGATAAACAATGCAATGCAATAGTTGAAGAGAACTTAAATGCACATATAAAATAGATTGTCTCTTGAAATTGATCTGCCATAACTGTGCGTTTCTTTTATTTCCAGATATCTTCACATTCAGAATGCAAATCTCCTCTTCAGAATATTCAGACTGGCTTAATATCCTGTGCCATGAGTTAGATTTAACCTCACAGCTTCATACATATTATCATCTATGGTAAAACACTGCAGGACAACACTGATGCAGCTTCAACCACTGTGATTTCATTCCAAGAGACACATGATAATATCTGGTCATGTACACTTAATCCCCCCTTTTAAACATGAAATGCCATCCTGCAGATTAACATTGGGATTAACTGCTAATACCCTTGAAGGTGGGCTACAGTTTCTGCCTGAAACACAGAGCAGTGCTGAACATCTAATATATTAATGGAAATGTGTATATTATCAAGCAGAATATCTGACTGTATTCTAAATACACAGTGCTGCGATTAAGTGGGATCTTACAGTTTTGTTGGCAAGTACGCAGGCGTGTCATCCTTGCTTTTGATGATGTCATTGCATTTATCCAAAGTCTGGAAAACAGTGAAGGTGTCCCCGATGCTGTAGAGGGTAGCAAGGTTTTTGGCCAGCAGTTTCCTTGTTGGCGGTCCAGGGGCACTACTGATCAGTCCAGTCAGCTGTTCCACCAGCTTCTTCTGTTTCTCCTTCACGTCCACCTGCCACGCAAATGCACGACAAAGTCACAAACTGGCGCAAATGAAACCCACGCAGAAAAACAATGCCAAAAATATGTACGGGGCACCTTATTCGCTGCCACGAGCACTTTATCCAAGAAGCGGAGCCATTCGAAGATGAAGACGGGCCTCTTTGCTTCGGTGATCTGAGCCAAGGCATCTTCATTGAGCAGCAGACTGTGAGCCAGCTCCATGGTCAGGACCTTTAAACACAGTGCTGTACACCTTTGCCTCTGCAGAGTTATCTTAGGGCGTGTGCCTTGTCAGTAGATGTCTCTCCTCTGATATTCGCCCTTTCATCCGATCACCTAGACAGCATTAAAACGGCACTTCTGTTACTAGAGATCTGACATTTATCGTCCTGCAATAACTTGATTAGGTTTATGCAAGAGACACGGATATTAATTACAAAGTCATAGCAGCTTTCACTGCTTACGACCTTTATGAGTCCGTGCTTACTTGACGTATTGAGTGTAGCACACTGAACTGTCAAAGCTGGGTAGCGTTAACACTGATCTGTTCTACGCTGACAGCTGTCTGCCTCCAGCTGTTGATAGACCAGCTCGTTAGCAGCCTAAGCTAGCTGACGTTAGTTCCTACGAGGAACAAGCTGAACTCCACACACACTCACCCAAACTGAGCGTTATCTATCTATCATCATCTGTTAAAACATTTAGCTGTTCAAAAACACCTCAACAATAACAGCTTTCTAAAATATGAGATAAATGTAGAGGAATTGTTCATCCTACCCGTTTCCGATGCCCAGGATGAATGACGACGATGTCGGCGGTGTCGCATTAAAGTTTGCCCGACTTGAAACCAGAAAATGAATGTGCAGAATATATTGCTGTAACATAATCAAAAACAAAACATGTTTCACATTATGTGTATGTTGTTCCCTCAGTTGTCTACGTTTATTGAAAATAAATACCTTATTTTGATTTATTTGTTAAAAGCGCCAGAACTGTATACTTGGTACCTTGTAGCTACACGGAATGTATCTTTGACGAACCAAACATCAGCGAAGCAAAATACTAAAGCAGACAACCGGATTATTTATTGAACGCTGTAGCGGGTTTCTACATTGTTTCGCGGTCATAATGTCTGATGAGGAAGAGGACTATATGTCTGATGCATTTCTTACTAAAATGTAAGCGTTTTGTGTGTCCTTTGTGTAATATTAAAACCTGAGGTTGTCGAGATTGTTACGTTACATTACATGATGTAGTTTATTATCCCGAGGTGTCCGTTTTATCAAATTAAAGCTAATTCGGGGATTTTCAAAGGAGTGTCAGTTGTGGAAGTGTGTGTTTTTAAAGTCGTGCTCCCATAATAGCTATAACGTTTTCTTATCCCATTACCTTTCTCTTTGTCCCTCTGTCTGCCAGACAAGATGTGAAGCCAGGTGTCAGCATGGTGAGGCGGTTAAAAGAATCAATAAAGAAGGAGACGCAGCAACAGGAGACGAACATCAAGAACCGTCAGAAGACTTACAAGGAGCAGGAGACGGAAAGTAGAGAGGCAGCGATAGAAAACCCCATTTGCAATAACAACAAGGGATTTGCACTTTTGCAAAAAATGGGTTACAAAGCTGGTCAAGGCCTCGGGAAGGCGGGTACGTTTCTTTTTTTATTATTATCTTATTTTTATTCTGTTTTGCGTGTATTCATGTTAATCTCTGTTACCTCTTCAGGAGCAGGGAGGGTGGATCCAATTCCTCTAAATATCAAAACTGGTAAGCAATTCTTTTTGAATTGTGTGGTCATTTATTTGGCATAATTTTGGTATTTGGTAACATGTGCAATCCAACTGGTGGCTTACAGTGTTTATGTACTTTCCTTTGTATGCTAAATCAGACAGAGGTGGCATTGGAATGGAAGCGTTGAAGAAAAGAAAAGCTGAGGAGGAACTTCAACATTATCGTCAGAAAGTACGGGCCAAACAACAGAACGAGACGAAGTCTCTGGAAGATTTTAGGTGAAGTTTACAGCTGTCCATAACATACATTATGCTTTTAAACATTGCTCCCCTCCTATAATACAAACGTGACATAGTCTGTGAGTGTAATGTCATTCTTTTTAATTCCAGGTCTCGAGTAAGGACGGAGAGAGAGGAGCGAAAGATTGAAGGAGATCTCAGAAGGAGTAAGCGAGCCTGTGAGCAGCTTGACAGTCAGAAGGTATGGCCATAATCTCACATCACAGTTCAGCCTCTCTGTACTGAGAATACATACAAATGTGTCAGAAAAAATGAACATGCCAAAATTTTATATTTTCACAATTCACACTACCTCAGTACAGAATCAGCACTAGAGGTTTTCTGTGTGTGAATCCTTTGGCTGAATTGTCTTTTCAGGGCATCACTGTCCCCAGGGAAGACTGGTACTGGCCTAAAGAAGAGACCGATGATGAGGAAGATGATCTTAAGGAGGAGGAGGAGGAAGAGGAGAAGGAGGAGGAAGAGAAAAAGGAGGAGGAAGAGATCGTGGAATTAACCGTTAGTGTTTCGTTTACCTTGATCATACAGTGATTTAATGTGGAATGCTAATTTATGATCCCAAATCAACTTTTTTGTTGAATAAATGTATGGAAATATGTCGTAGTTTTGGTGTGACGCACGATTATGAGTGTGAAGTATAAGACATGCTGCCAGTGTATCGTTATACTGACATGTGGTGCGAATAATTCATCTCGTTGGATTCTGTGGTGATGAATCCAGAGTAAAATGAATGTATTTGATATGTCCCTCTCTGTTACAGTCCTTTGACAAACTGCAAATTTTGACATCCTATCTGAGAGGAATCCATTTTTACTGCATATGGTGTGGAACCACCTATAACGGTAAGAGTGAGGACAACATGCCTGTTGGTTTTATTGACTTTGCTGATACATTTTATTTTATTTCATTGACAGATGAAGATGACTTGTGCTCCAACTGTCCTGGGGATACAGCAGCAGACCACGAGTGAACGGGATGAAAATGAATATGCTCAGTTGTTCAAAGTGAAAAAGCAGTTTTATTCAGTGGGCTGATCACACTTGGCTTTGATAAGCAGTGTTGGCAATGAGGTGATCATAAGTGGAGGAATATTTGTTTATCGTCCCAATTTGAATCATTTGTCCATCTCTGGAAAGTCATCACTGTTTATACTGTTTGTAGTTGGCGGCCCTGACTTTTTCTTTACATTTAGGTATGCTGTGGGAAATTTAGGATATCTTTCATGTATATATTTTTCAAAAGATGCACTAAGATTTTTTTAGACATGTTTGAAGAGCGATTGCATACCTGTGTTTTCATTAAACATTTAAATAATTATACTTTTTCTCTTATCTATTTTTAAGCTAAATAAATCACTTTGGGTTCAATTTACTTAATGAAATATAAGATGTTATACTTTCTAAAGCTGTAATCTGATATAACTGCCATTTTTCCTTTACGTGTATGAAAAAAGTGTTTTGTATAATACTCTGAAGATAAATGGATATGAACTATACGCTGGACAAAAAGCCTCTATAACGATTACCCAAAAAAAAAAACAAAAAAAACTTTAACAACTACAGTTCCCATGAGGCTTAGAGGTTGGCGCGGTACTAAAGCTTCTTGGGAACTGTAGTTGCTGAATGTTAACAAAAAAAATCTTTATTTTCAAGGTGAAGAACAGGTAGGCATACATACAAATCAAGCAGACGTTAGTTAAACGTTTGTAAGAGTATATAAATACCCGTCAAATTATTAATGACCGAGTACTTAACATTAACACCTATCTAACTTAACGGCTACTTGCCCAAAGACACTCAGCACATTCACTATACTAACGCTAACACTTTCTCCATATACTTATCGCAGTGTTACAACTGATCCACATCCTTCACTGCTGAGTTCATGTCATCTGAACCATATTTGATATTTCAGACGCCACGTGAGGGTGCCATGTTGTGTGACGTGTACGGAGAAAACGAAACTTACTGAGGGTGAGGCTGCATTAAAACAGCCCGCTGGTACGTGGAAGTAGAGCTGAGATGAAAACGAAGAAGAGCCATCGTTAGTTAGTATTGTGAGGTTTATTCTTTGCTGTGTTGAGAGGGGACGTTGTGACGGTTGAGTTATGTATAATGGCCGTAGCTAAACTCAACGAGTACACACAGAGAGAGCGCTTAGACCTGAGGTATGAGGACGTTCGGGCTGTTGGCCTGGATCACATTAAGACGTGAGTTGGAACACATTCTCTGGTGCGATTTACGACAGTAGTAGGATTTGAAGAGATGTGGGACTTAAATAGAACATGTTCTTATTCAATGGGAGGATAGGCTGGTATTTACCTTGTTTTTTTTGTTTTTAGAAAAAAAGGAAGTGAGTGTATTCTATGTGTCGCTTTAGGCCAATCAGTGTCCTCAGGTATGTTACCACATTTGAACCACACGCCATTGATGCAAAATTAAGTTAACAGTGCATACCTCCAAATTTGAGTTTGGATAGCCCAATTATTCTCCCTACCCTCTTAGACCCGCTGCATGAGGCACTGGCACCACCACAGTGGCAGAAGTATGCCCACATGAATGGTGTGAGTGTTACAACACTTCAAAAAAGACAACAAAATAGATCCACATAGATGCAGGGGTGTTGAACCTCAATATTCTTTAAAGGTGCAATGTGTGAGATCTGGTCACATGTTACAAACATATAGGGGTATCATTTCACCTCTACTATATAGTCTATATCAGGGGTGTCCAAACTTTTTTCAAAGAGGGCCAGATTTGATAATGTGAAAATGCCCAAGGGCCAACAGTCCCTGCTGACATTATTTTAAACAATACAAGTAGCCTTGTAGATAAAACGGGGATGAATTTACATCATTGTATAAAGAGAGTGACATGAGAAGATCAATCTCATGTCTGTAAGTTAAATCAGCTATAATCACTATTTTAAAGTGATTAGTGACTCGTCTAAAATATTTTAAAAAGGAATAACTTCAATAGAATCATTCTATACACTGTAGCTTCTTTACATTCTATCAGAATGTAAAGAAGCTACATTCTGATACAATGTAACTTCTTTACATTCTATTAGAATGTAAAGAAGTTACAGTGTTGCCTTTTCTTTTCTTTTCTTCCCACAAGAACATAATTTTGTCAGGTTGATAAAAAAATGTCACTTTACTTCCTGACATTTTACCACAGGGGTGTCCAAACTTTTTTCAAAGAGGGCCAGATTTGATAATGTGAAAATGCCCAAGGGCCAACATTCCCTGCTGGCATTATTTTAAACAATACAAGTAGCCTATACATACATTGTTATTTAATCATTTTATTTTCAATGACAGCAAATGGCAATGTAACCAAATGTAAGCATTCATGTATGAACACATCTCAACAACTATTCTGCCTTTCTTTCACATCTTGAAAGTCAGATAACACAAAGAACAAGCCATCTAAAAGCTAATTACATAGAAACCGATCAATGTTCTCACCTCAAGACAATCTTAAATATGACTTAGTGATTGTAATGAAAAGTTGTCTCACATTTAAGTTCAACACACATGAAACAGGCTAACGAAAAAAACTCTGTCTTCTTCTCGGGGCAATTATGTTTTCTGCTATTTTCATAACAGTCTTTGATAAACTTTGTCATGTTTGTCGTGTTTAGCAGTTAGCATGGCCACTTGGTAGCTTACTTTGATGGTGTTTTCATGTGAAAAGGACCGCTGCTGTGAGTCCAAGTTATCTTAAAGTTGCTTCACTTTTCTAGCTCGGTCGCTCTGATAGCTTGTTGTAGCATTAGCATGTTTGGTGTCGTAGTGTCTCTTTACATTATATAGCTTAAACAAGGCAACAGTCTCATGACTAATTAGGCAGACACAGTTGTTTCGGTTTTCGGTGAAAAAAATATTGCGATCTCCACCTCTCCTGGAAGCGGCGGCCCTCATTATCGACTTTCCTTTTTTTACCTGCCGTAACATGACAGGTCAAGGGTCAGAGCCAATTTCAAACAGCCAGACAGTTACAGAGTGGTGCTGCCACCATGAGGTAGAAAGAGGAATTGCATGTTGAATTTGTATGATTTATTCATTCCGTTTTGACTGTGCTGACGGGCCATAAATAATGCATTTTAAGACAGAAGGTGCGGGCCATATAAAATCTGACCTCGGGCCGTGATTGGCCCGCGGGCCGGACTTTGGACATGCCTGGTCTATATAATCAGATACAAAATAAAAAGATATATTTTGCGCTGGCTGAATGTGCATTTCTACAGTTAGTTTTAATTTTTTCAATGTTTTAAACATTCTGGCCAAATCTTTCACATCTCACCTTTAATAAGTATTGACTGAACCGTGTCTGAGGCATTGAGTTAGATATTGAAAAATAGCGCTAGTTGTTTTGGAATAGATACCCAACTCGGGTATCACATTGACACCAGTAGTGAAATATTTAAACATTTTAACCAGTTTTAGTGTTATATATAATGCTCACCATATTCTTGTATCATCTTGCCTGTTTAACTAAGTTTCATAATTTATTCTCAGATTTACCGTGAGAGCAGTGGTGGGTGGTAAGGCGTATCCTGAAGGTGAGGGGAAGAACAAGAAGGAAGCCAAACTGAATGCAGCTGCAAACGTCCTGAGTGTCCTGTTGGGGGAAACAATAGACTCTGTAAGATTATTATACCTCTTTATTAACTCACTGCATGTGTGAATTTTAGTATTCCAAAGTATGGATGATGACACTCGTCTCCTCGATGTATATTTGTTTTTATCCCAACAGACAGAAAATGCAACAGAAGCTTCAACTGCACCAACTCATCAGACAGCTTTCACTCAAGCCAACTATACATGTTGGCTCAATGAACATGGTCACAAGAGCAGGGTGACTATACGGGCTCTGGAGTCAACCAGACTGGGACTAAATAGTACTACTCCGTAAGCCTCTTAAATACATCATCATTTGTAGCTATTTTGTCCTGATTTATAAATGCATTAAATAAAATGTTTATGATATTAGATGCTGTAGCTTCGTGGTTGGTGATAAGGAGTTTCCAGCTGCCACTGGGAAAACAAAGAAGGAAGCTAAGGAGGAAGCAGCCAAGCTTGTGTATCTCGAGATATGTGGGAGTAAAACTACAGAGGTAAGTAATGAAACACACTAGTTGAAGAAACTGATTCAACCTGATTGTCGTTAACTGTAATGTTGTCATGAAAGTTTGAGTAGATTTTTCATATGTTGCACAAGTCACACTCCTGTCAGTGAAACAATATCAAATCCTACTTTTCTTTGTTTTTTAAAGACTGGAGAGGAGAAGAGCCGTGACACATCAAGCCAACAAAACGAAGAATTGAATCAAAATGCGTCGGACATCTGGTGAGCACAAACAATGGAGCGGCATTGCTTCCGTTTGGGTTATGAAAAGTTTTAGTGTCTGACTTATCTTGGTGTTACAGTGATAAGATGAAGAGCTTGAGTGCGATCACCAAAGACAAAGGTTTTACGGAGACAAATTTCATAGCAGTCGTCGACCACTACTGTCACAAAACAAAGCGCTCCCATGACTACATCTTAGAGCGAAGATGCGGTCCAGATCATAGCCCTCAGTGAGTATGAAGAGACACCGCAGACACTGTAGGAAAACTCTTGATAGATGTGAGAGAGGATCTAAATATTTCCTCCCCACCAACACAGGTTCTTCTACAAACTAGCGATCGACAACAAGGACTACCCTTCGGGTGAGGGCAAGAACGTCAAGGAAGCCAAACAAAATGCAGCTCGGCTGGCCTGGTCTGCTCTTAAAGAACAGCCAGACTGGGACACCAAGGTATTTCATATTTTTCTGTTGTTTTAAAATTATAATTTTTGGTTTTCGATATGTCACCTAGTAGACTGTAGAACAGGCTCATTGCAGATGTTTCCTGATGCTTTTTTATGTAGCCATCTGTTATTCTGCTCCCCTAAGCCATAGCAGCTGCAGCTTACTTTGCTTACTATAAAACATGCATGCCCAGTCTTATTATGTCAAGTATAAGTTGTCAGTATTTTTGTGGAAATCTGGAAAAACACACTTCAAGCTTCACAGCAAGTTTCAAATTCTCAACCATAATATTTAAACCATGTATTCAGAAGTTAGAACAAGATGAACTTGTCATTTTGCATAAGCCTTTAACCATGCCTGTGCATGCAAACAAATGTACTATGCAGTGATCGATCATAACGACATTTAAAATGCGTTCGCTGTGTTTTTGATTCCAAATGTGTGGAGTAGATAAGTGAGGTAAAGGGACACTGTATGTAGCCGTGTTGTCGCATCCGCAGTGATTCCCAAAGTACCTTTAAAGATGAGCCAAGGGTGCTGCAAGATGTATTTCAATTATTTTATTGTACAGTTTCCACCGCATAAACAATTAGGTATTTACATTAACTACTTTTTTATATTACGTTTTCAAAGCTGATACATGTCACTCCTCCACAGAGGCTGTGTAGACTGAACCTGAGCTGGCATCAAAAAAATATTAATAACAGCAGATTACCAGGCGAGGTTCTTCTGAACATCTGAGGTTTAACAACATAAAACATGACAATGGTTCCCCTCTAATTAAGATACCACATTAGTGATATTCCAATGATTATTAGAGTAATGCTACACCACAATGTCAGAGAGCCTCAATCACTGCTAAACATGGTCATATGTGACAGTAATGAAGACTTCCTTTGTGCTTTAAGGTGTCTCTTTGGTCAGCTGTGTCTGATGATGGTCTGTCCACGCCACCAATCACACCGTAAGGCACTGACTGAGCAGTAAGGCAGATGGTGAAGTTTGATGTTGAGTGTGTTTTACTAAAGTGTCTCATTTTAATCTCCAAGGGAGTCCCACGGTGCAAAATCTAAAAGGGTGCCAATGGCTGCAAGTGACTCGGCTGTTTTCACCAATTCATCAAATCCTCCTGAGGATCAGGTCTGTTATTTCCTGTGTAATCCTCTAAATATTGTCATGGTTCATCAGTTTGTAATGCTCAGTCTATTGCAGAAGATTAGTTACTTTAATTTAACATTTTAGGTTAAGTCAGCTCTTCTTAATAAGTGACCTGTTACTCCAACGACAGAAAGTGACTTAATACATTACCAGGATATTTTTTAGGGTCACGCATGTATTTGGTGAGAGCAAACAAGTAATTATAATATAGTACGAAACAGAGTGTGACAGTACTTGCAGCCCAGTTAGTTTAGTTCCCAGCACAACATTGCTTATTGTAAAGGAAGATTTAATTCGGACCTCATATAATACATTTTGAATGCAGGCATGCTTAAATATAATTGGCTATATTTTTCTGGTTTCCATTATAAAGATTAAAAGTCCTGATGTGAAGCCCAAAATAAGGTAAGGCATCTTTTGAGACCTGCATTAAAGCTACAGTACATAATATTTCACTGGAGGTTATTGGTGACTGCAATATTATTATTATTGTCTAGAATCGCAGCAAATTTCCAAAATGCCCCCAGAAACAGCAAAGAGGTAAAGTATGAAGATATTAATCCTGTTAGTTAATCTTGTTGGTTGTTGTTTAACATTTTGATCTCTATATCATGACTTTATTTTATTCATTCAGGATATAATGCCCAATTTCAAAGGCAAGAATCCAGGAAGTAGTCCAAGTAAGAAGACAACAACCCAGATATCAAGGTATGGAAAATGAAAACATTGAAGTACAATACTGGCATTATTTTTAGCTCTGCTGTGGCCTTTTATTTGTGATTTAAAATATTTTTGCCTCAACAATGCCTGTGTTAATCTTAACAGGTTTACATCTGAATTTGACTCCATAGTGTGTCTCGGCAAAGGAACCTTTGGTCGTGTTTTCAAGGCAAATCAAAAACTGCTGAAGAAGAATTATGCTATAAAGATTGTCCGTTGCAAAGAGTAAGTCAAGTATGAAAGATGTTTACTTTTGTTTACTTTTTTTTTTTAATGTGCAAAAAGTTAACATTTTCATTAACTGAGTCTTGTTCTCCTTAGGATCAAAAAAGCTCTACGAGAGGTGTTGGCATTATCAGACCTCCATCACTGCAATATTGTTCGATACTACACATGTTGGTTGGAGGATTCAGGATACCAATGGGACAGTGTAGATGACAGTTCCAGCCAGTAAGTCCCATCCACTTATATCCTTGCTGCACTCTACTTATTTTACTAAACATGAAAGACTTTCATGCCTCAGTTTTTCTGTTCCTACTTTTCTAGGTCGTCTGTTAAGTACCTGCATATTCAGATGGAGTTGTGTAACACCAACACTCTTAGAGTGTGGATAGACGAGAAGAACACTCAGAATGTGAAGAAATCTCTGCGAGACTCCAAGAGAAGAGAACAAAGTCTCACTATTGCTCAGCAAATAGTGAGTGCAGTGGATTACATTCACTCCAAGATGCTCATCCACAGAGACCTGAAGGTGAGGCGAAGTGGATAAAAATCATCATTCATAACATCGCATCAGTCATGAAGCTACATGTTTTGTTCATTTCTCTCCCCACGGTCAGCCTGCCAACATCTTGTTTGGCCAAGATGGGGAAGTGAAGATCGGAGACTTTGGTCTGGTCACTGAGGAAAACAATGACGACGCTGAGAACCTCCTGGAGAGAACGGTGTTCAAAGGAACCCCATGTTACATGGCTCCAGAGCAAGTGAGACGGTCTACACTGACAGTAACTTTGGATTCTTCTGTTTTATTCAACATTGGTTGTTAAAGACCTGTAGAGCTTCAGGGCCTTTTGTTAATATTGTGCTCTTGTTTTATGACAGAGGAGCAGGAACACTTATGATCGAAAAGTGGACATATTTGCTCTGGGGTTGATATATTTTGAACTCCTTTGGAACCTCTTTACCGGCCCGGAAAGGAAACTGGTGAGTTGTTCAAAATAGTCCAAAATCAATTCCAGTCAATATTAACTGTGAACTAATAAATGCTTTTTGCTTTTAGTTTGTTTCAAAGATGGGTACCAGACACAGATAACAGATGTCAACCGATCGATCCTCAAATTTAAATCTTTTTACACAGCAGATATTTCTGACTTGTCAAAGCAGGAATGCCATCTGGGAAAACAAAGCCGACAGCTTATCAATTTGTATCACACCTATTAAATGTTCTTCCTTTCTTTTCTCACCAGATTTTGGATGATGCCAGAATCCAGAAATTTCCTGAAAACTTTCCACACAATTTTCCCCTGGAGGTACACCAGCATTCTTTCTTTCACTCGATACATGAAACTGTGTTTTCTACAGGGTGGCAGACGTTTGTGATGCTCTCCAACAGGACAGTAGTGAGGCTGAGGTATGAGGGTCTGCACTGTTACAACAGTTCATCTGTGAAGCTTCAAGGGACAAGAAGCCAAAACAGGACAAAATGTTAAAAGTCAAGCAGGAAAGACGACTGGTTGGGAAAAAGATTTACTTTGTTAGGTTACCTAGGTAAAGTCAATTAGAGGGAAATACAGTTGAGCCTCAAAGACACTGGCAGCATTCATTGATATCACAGAGATCGCTGTTCTTTTTGTTGCAGATCAAAATCATTAAGTCGATGCTGTCTGAAAAGCCAGAAGACCGACCCGAAGCAAGTAAACTAAAGATGGACTTGGAAGAGTGCTCTCAAACACTTACAATGCTTAAAGATATGCGACGCAACAGTAGGACTTTCTGATTATTACAAGGAAATACTTAAACAGCAGGCAAAAGCATCAGTCATCACATGCATGACTATTAAGTCAGCATTATGTTCCATAATACCTTTATTTGCAAGGTTTTTATTGCTAAGGGGAGTGTACCTTTAACCATTTTCATGATCTGATGTGACAAAATGCATCATGATTATAGGACTGATGGGCACATAACCTCGTGCAGTTTATAATCGGAGGATAGGGTTGTTCTGTGTCAAATCAGATAAGTGGGTTTGTATACATTTTAGATTTTGTTCATGTAAATGCTATTTGAGACCAAAATATTTTCACTGAATATTGAGAATTGCATATCTTTTTTATAGCCATTTTTAGGGTTCAATGTCTTCAGATATTTAACTCCTAAAGCCGTGAAATTTGGTAGTGGCACAAACAAAACCAAATCCACTCACAAGCAGATCTCATGTTATTTTATTACTGGCCCTTAAAAATGGAAAAAGTGCAAAATGGGTAGTTTTGGGACCCCAGGCAGTTCCTTAAAGTACATATAAATGGACATTTCCATACTTCCGACTAATAATACAGTATTTTATTGATGTTTTGCTAAATTTCAAAGGCTCTAACATCATCAAATTCGAGATATGGCAAGAACGGCGATGTGGACTCATTCCTAGGACCATGAAAATGTATGTGCAAAGGGCCATTTTTCTATATATATATATATATATATGTATGTATGTATATATATGTATGTATGTATGTAT